TAGTAGCGCTCAACGTCAATTTTTCTTTCGCTATAAGTTTTGCTGGAATATTAAATTGAGACAAAGTGCCATAAAGAGTGCTTCTAGTCGTAGTGCCATAAGTACTTTAAAACCGACTTATTAATAGTGTGTCAGATATGCTTAAAAATTTGACATACTGTAAATACCTGGTTTATGATAAGGTCTTTCTGATAACCAATCAGGTGTTTGATGATTGACTTTAATCCTTCACATACTAGTATGTTTTATAAAACCTTGTATGCGATGTTCAAAAGACTGATTCCTCAATCAGTATACCCAAATTCCAAGTATGTATCCAACAATATTTTGGAATAATCTGTAGCATGCATTTAAATAGCTCCTAGTCACCAGTTTTGAATAGCTCAGCCGGTAAATTATTTTATGTTAATTTGTTATTTATTTTAAAACGTCTAAATCGTCTAATAAGAATACATATTATGTTACTTAATTAATAGCTGAATAACATATTTAAGTTTATTTGCGATATAAATGGGTCCTTTACTTTGAAATAGAAATACAATGCTTTATACACTAGTTTTAATTGAAATAAAATACCTCAATGTGAGTATATGTATCTTAAGTTTGTTTCAAGTTCAAATTGAGATTATCGGAATATCATGAACCCTAAAGCACCTCTCAAAGTTAACAAGTGAAACACGTTAACACACTTAGCAGGTTATGAAAGTAACCCGAAAGTGATTTTCTTAGCCTATCTTGGAATCATAAATGAACTGCAGAGCCGTACGAAAATGTCCGTAGCATGCAGAAGCATGAAAGATATTAAACGCAAATTGACCAAGACGAGATACTTGTAGTGCACAACTTTGTATCTGCATCTGTGTAGCTATAAGTATGTACGGCTGCGTCTTGGCAGAAATTGAGTCAGCTGCTTGAGTGGAAAGCTAAGTGAGCTTGCAACACTTTCAGTGCGTCGAGTGATTGATAATGTGTGTTAAGAAACACGCAAGTGGATGGAACTTGAATTTGAAATTAAGAAACTTGAATTATAAATAAGAAATATTGTTTTGAATTGAATAAGCAATATGTATATATATCTATGTAGCGTGAGTAAACAGGTGGGAAGCGATGTATAAGAGTCAGCTTAGATTGTGAAGTCAATTAGCTTTTTTAAAAAAAAAATATATTTATCAAATGAAGTTGCCCCAGGTCTTTGGTTTTAAATAATATTTTTTACGATATTTAATTTTATTATATTTGTTTTTTTGTGATATTTTATGGTTAAAAATATTTTATATATTTTTTTTGAAGTAAAATGAAAAAGGTACACAGTTCAAATGCTGTTTATCATATTTTTGTGCAAATATTTTGCTAAATTTGTCCGTGTGTCTCATAAAACATGAAAAATGACTATTCTGTGTATAACCCAATAGAATTTTTTCATAAATGCTAAAAGGGTTTGAGGTAATTTGAATAAATTTAGCAAATAAAATAACAGATAGAAATGATAAGATTGATATATTACCGTGGTTTTAGGACATTTCATTCAAAAGGTCTTAAAAAGGTAGTTGCTATTTATAGCTAGATACAAAACATAAAATGTAAATAGTCTGCGAATTCAACATAAATTAAACCATCTATTTTATATTAATATTTTATAATAATTTTTTAATGTTATTTTCAATAAACAGTGTGTTAAAAATAAAAAAAATTTATATTAATGAAAAAAGATTAGATACATATCAAAAATATTTTGTCTTTCATTAACACTTTTCCTTAAAACTAATACTTATGGTTCATATATCACAAGTAATTAAAGTCAGAATAATTGAACTAGTTTCTACTTTTTTAGGTTTCTAGCGATGTATTTGATACTAAGACGCTCATTATGGGAGTTTGAATGATACTTATCCACCACTGCAATCAAGCAACCAAGTTGATCTTACGTCCTGTTTGGAACAGCGCTGTATCTTTTTCAAACTTTCTATTCCGTTGTCCATCCTATCTACATCATCTTAGAAACATCCTATTTCTACAAAATTACCACGAATTTTATAATTTTTGTAATATCTATCAGACATTAGAGCTGTGTGAGCGATGCAATCTTAGCACAATGATTCTACATATATGTTACGCTTAATAAAGGTTGTTAGAAAGTAAAGGGAAAAAGACTTAATTCAATAGAATTAAGTGATGATCAAGTCAATAAAATATTTGAAATTATTAAAATTTTGACTAATTTTTACGTATTCCTCATTCAAACTGTAAAGTTTCAATAAAATATTTTGATGCATTCACACTGCTACTATGTACTTATACGAGTATCTTTTTCAGTGACTCTTGAGAGAATGGAAACTGCAATATCCTGCAATGTAAATGAAACTCATTACAAACACTTGCAACTTCTTGCCGTTAGTTGCACTTTGATGCAATTTCACAAAGTCTATCTGCATCTTTCCCGTGTCAATAAAATGTAATACACTAAAGTGTCAACTCACGCACGTTCTTCTTCAACACATTTTCAGGTGCATTTCAGGAACTTTATCGACTTCATTAGGCAATGTCAATGATAAGAGTAAAACTTTGAATAATTAAATCAACTACGCAAGTTCGTGCTATAATTAAGATACTTTGCAGTTGCAAACTTAAAATTTGTTAAGAGTGAATTTATATATTTGTGCATGTGTAGGAAAATGATTTTAAATTCAAAAGGAAATTAAAATGAAACAGTTGACGTAAAAGGATTTTGTATAATTAAAACAAAAACTATTTTTTTCTTAGTTCTTAAATAAGTTTAAACAAAAATCGAATTTATTTGAAAATAAAGTCGTCCTTTTAAAGTTGTTTTTTTTTTTGTTTTTAACAGTAGGTGGAAGCATCGGAAAGCCACCGTGTGAAACTTGAACCCACTAAACCACCTCTTAGAAATGTTTGGAGAAGATTTCCACAGCATTGTGAAACCTTCATTTCAGTAATCAGGGGCGAGAGGAGAAAAAATAGACTTAGTACCTAGCTAGTATCTTTTGAAGTTGTTCACAGTCTGCATTTTTTTATATCGCTTTTTATATAAAATAACAAAACTATTAATTTTTGTAGAAATTTCAAAATATTTTAATATACAAAATATTTAAAAATTTCATTTATTTAACATTTCCCATAAATATTTATTATTAAAAAATATTTCATGTTGGAATATAAAATTTTGACAATTTCGCTGTGGTTAAGGACTCTTAAGATTGCTGAGCAAAAACTTTTTCAGCAAAATATGCAACAACATATTTTCCTTAACTAAAAATGCAGTAAAATAAAATTCTTATCTATTCACAGCATTGAAAGTGAAAATTGTGCCAAATAATCCTGCCCACATTTGCGTTAACATGACACTAAAAATCTACTTTTCTTTTGCTTAAAGGAAACTATTGACAGCGTAACGAGTGTCTTCTTGGAAGAAAGACACTGCATTGCATGCCTTCTCGTGGCAAGGAGGAAGAAGACATTTTCTCTTTTGAAAGTTCTTATAAAGTTTTCCAAACTTATACAATGAGGTACTTATTAAAAGTCAAAAAGTTGTAAAAGTGTCAAATGGGGTTACATCCTTATTATGAATACACATGAGCTTAAAATAGAATGGTGAATTGGAAAAATTGTGAAAAACTGTGAGTATTGGAGTGAAGAGAGAAGTGGGAAGAATGAACAATCAAATTTTCTAGTACATTTTTTTTACAGTAGACAGTAGAGTTAGGATAAAGACTACCGATTCATTCCGGAATAAGTGTGGTGTAAAATTTAAGGAATCCAAACAAACTTTAAGAAATTGTTAAAATTAAAAAGTTTATTTTCAAAGAATATTTTTTTAAAATTTTTGGACTTAATAAATTTTGAAAACATTATTGTGATATGATTTATGGACTCATATTTTGAAGATCTATAATATTGCGATCTTAGTTGCATTTGTTTTTTAAAGAGTTTGAATATGTTTGCAAAATCTGCAAAGGTGCAAAGGTCTATTTTAAAGATTCATATAACTTGGGAGGTTACTAATTAACTAACTCCATAATACCTTTTGTCTACATATTATCTGAATGATTAAGTTAAATGCTTTTGGTTTAGAAGTGATCATGTTCTTGTGTTATTGATAAGCAAATATCAGTAATCGTTGTAATTGCCATTTTGTTTTCCCAGTTGTTCTTGTGACCAGTTATATGGAATCCGTTGGGAACTGTTATCCTGTTTATTTCTAATTTCTTTCTGAAATATAGTTTTTGAGTTAAGTTATATGTATTAGTGAATTGAAGAAGTTTGGATTTTAACATACTCTTGAGTTAATAATAAACTACTGTCATAAGCTTTGAACTTTATGGTATAGTTTCACATGATCATTTTCCTTTTATTAGTAAATAATGTTAATAAAATATCCACTAATTTAGGTCAGGATGACTTGATTATTTTGCGAATAGGTGTCATGAGGGTTGAATTAGTCTCCACTACTTTCACTCTGATGAACTGGAAGAGTTCTAATACAAACTGCGTCCACCATTTAGTTTAGTCATAAATAGTTTGTACCAAGTCAAGTAAAATATTCTCTTTAATTATGGATCATGAGATAACAAAAAGATATAATTTTATCAACATGATTGGTGAAGAAAAGAACTTTTTTTAGATTTTTGGTACGATAACAGTTTCCTAACTTGGATCCTATGATATGCTTTCGGATTTTTCATCCTGTATTTTGCAACTTAAAACTCCGATATTTCAACAGTCAAGCTATATTGACATATAAAGTTTTTTAGAATAGGTGATTATACAAAAATCTGTCATGAAGTTGCGGTGTATAAGAAATTGTATTGGTGTTCTGTTTTATCTTTATCTTATCCAAAGCTGTTCATTCGTTGCGTTAAATAGATATTTGAAAATTATTCAGGTTCTAACAAGGTTCGAAGAAATGCAATATCAGCTTGAACTCCTTTGGTGTAGAATGGCTCTAAACGTTTGTTGGTTGGATCTGTGCCAAACACGACATCTAATGGAAAATTCTGTTCCAATTCTGTGAGCATAAAAACTTTTCTAGCATTTTGTCGGAACTCTTCGATTGCATTTTGAATTTCTTTATGAGCTGTTTGCAAAGTTTCCATTTCATAAAAAGTTTCATCTTGCAGTCGGTTCTTGCAGTCATCATGTGATAGAGAGAAATACTTCTCCTCGATATCCTGTATGTCAGCAATTAGTTTTATATATATGTAAGTTGCATAGTTTTGTCTGTCAATAGGCTGAGCTTCACTGGCAAGTACAGATTTGGATAAATCGCGTTTTGACAAACGATAGGCGTAAGACACCAAAACTATTTGAATAATGAAAAACGTTATAATTACTGCAAATATATGGTAGTTCCCATCTATTAGACTTTGAATGAATGCTTCCCACCAATAAATCAGATCACGGTCATATTTTACAAAATTATATTCGAAAAATGCTAACACTAATAAATTTAAAATGCTTTCACATAGTATTATGCTCTGATAAAATCTGAAATTTTTGTCTAGGAAGAGCGCAAGAGATTGCGCTGATTCCATAATTTTGATATTGACCTGAATGTATTATAAGTATATTTTTGTTATTTTTTTTTTTATAGAAGTGTGCATTATAGCATTTCATTTTTGTACTAATATAGTTTGCTATGATCGAAAACAATTTTTTTTTGTATTATGAATAGCGTAATTATGACAGGTAATTGATTAGGTAATACAGGTCCTTAACAATCCTCAAGTCCACTTCTGGACTCTCAGGAAGATATGCTGATTTAAGGTCCGTCATCAACTAAAAGACAAATAAATGTGGGGTAGAGATAAGCCCCCCAGCCATTATAGAGTAAAAGTGCGTAATAGCACTAACTCAAGAAGAAGAATCAAGAAATCAAGAAGGTCCTTAAAGTATATCATAAATATAATATTAATAATCATCCAATTTCAATGAATATCACAATGTATAATAATTTACTGTGAAATGTAGTTAGATATTAATATAATATTGTACGGATATCTGAATTTTTGTCAGTAGAGATGGAGATTAGTGTTTAGATTTGAGTCGATGGTTTAGAAGATACTAACTTGTTATGCATGCATAGATATTGCTGAACTTTTGATACGAAGAAGTCAATATAAGTCCATTGACCCGGATTTTTCCGCAAGAAATAGTCATTTTTTTTTCTAATGTTCATAGCATTGAAGCATATAAGGCTACATCGATAAGATTATTAATCTTTTTACTTGAAAGCATATTATATTTCATTGCCACTAGTTAATTGTTAAAAAAAGATTTTATTAAAACTCTTAAATGAAATAAAAATATTAAATTTGGAAGTATCAAATTATGAGTTTCATTATTGGAAAAAAATTTTTATAGTTAAAGTTATACCAACTTAATCCTGATATAAAGCAAATTAATTAAAAATAATATTTACGTAATACTATAAAATATTAAAACCTTAATGATTTAAGGACAAAATTTTATTGAAATTAATAGTAAAATCTCAAACAGAGCAAACATTAAATAAAATTCCATGCCCTTGGCCAGTTTCGTCTTTCAATTTACAAAAATATTTCATCACTCCAGATACGAAACAATCGATTTTAAAATTTCTTGTGTTTACATTGGCATGTTGTCCTCCTTACTCTTGATCCTGAATGGTCGTTTCAACGTTGTGGATATTTTAATCTTCAATCTAAACAATTAAATTATTATTAGTTGGTATAGCCAAAGGCCATATGATGATGTGCTTTTATTGTGGATGAAGATATTAAAGTGCTTGAGTTTAGTTAATTTTTAGTCAAAATAATACGGAAAGAGTGGGCGTTGGAAAATTTCGTTTCCGTCATTAATCGGAAACGAACACTATTTGTCGAAATTTAAAGTATCTAATTCGATAAATATTTAGAGAATTATTTTTATACATCCTAGAAGAAGAGAAACTGTGATTACAGTAGTTTGCAACTAAAACCTTCCAAAGACGTGACCTACGATGCAGTAGAAAAAGATGTGATTGAGAATAGTTAATATATAACCGATATTTAGTTTATAGGATAATTTTATTTTATAGGTTTTTCATTAATTATTATTTGATTTATAATATACAATATAAATACAATATAAGCATATTGTATGTTATAATACTAATATTTTCTATACTCATCTTATTACATTTCTTTGAGATCTCATTTTGTGGTGTCTGACGTAGCAGTAGAATAGTTAATTCCATTTAACTTTTTCCCAGATTGCACTTCATAACGTCATTCATATGTTCAATTGTGCTATAGCTTATATTAAAAGTGAGCACAACTGATTTGTAGTTTCAACCGCCGAACCAAAGTTAAAACTTTTCTAAATATTGATACTCTACACCAGAACTCTCCGGACCAGATGGGATAGCGCGCCAATACAAGTCACTATAGAGATTGGAGGGACACAGAATCATACATACGTTCACAGTTGTGTTGGAGAAAAATAAAAATAGGGTTATAATGTTAAACTTAGTTTTATTAATTTATTTGGTATGACATAAAAATAAAATAATGTAGTTTTACTAAAGCACACCAAAAGAAAATTTACTTAATTGTGGTAGATTATAAATATGTCGAGGGCCGTACAAACATTAGCCACGGGTCGCATATGGTCCATTGGCCGTGCTTTGGACAGACCTACTCTACACCACAATCGCCCAAACTCAATATCTGGTAAAGTCCTTCACGCTACGTTTATTTTTATATTTTTGTGTTAAAAGAGAATAGGGCTATTAAGTAAACTCTTTTTGATAATATTGAAATGGTGTTGTAGTACTCGTAATATGTTAAAAGAATAAATTTCTTTTGTTAAGATTATAGCCATATGTACGAATACATGTAAAAAAATGAAGACAAGCTCCAAAATTCGAAAAGTCCCTATTATGTTATTTGTCGTGGATGTTTCCGCTCATACTACTTTCGGAATTTCATGTCCCGGTGCACTTGTAAGTTATGAAACCGGAAAGTGTTAAGTGTGTTTGCTAGGAGTATGTACGTTGTATGTTGGTACGCTGCCATGTAAGTGTCATGATGTATATGTACTTTCTGGCATGTGCATAATAAATAGTCAAGCTGTCATTGTTTGTGTTTTTGCTGCTGTCATAGAACGTTCCTTTCCGTGCTGTTGTTTAAATGCACTTGACTGCGTGCAAGAAGTTTATGTCGTCTTATTGTGTCTAAGAAGAGTTCAGCGGGCCTCTAAAAGCCTTATCAGTTCTTTCTAGTTGCTGTCTTATTGTCACTTCATTGACATGTTAAGTAGGAACGCAGGATATGTTTGCATAAATATTTAAATTGTTTCAAAAACATTTGAAGCCAAATGTATGAGTAGCAGCGAAATAAGTAAATTGCTTTACATAAATAAAATGTAACAAAGAATTCATGCATACGTGCTGGGATCTTCTAAAACGAATCCGGCAGGGTAAAATGCAACAGTTACTCGCAGAAGACATAAGAAATAAAAGAATGTATCTCAAAGCTTGTAAATTCATTAAAATTCGCTTGCCACACGAAAGCTGCGAAATAAGAATGAAATGTCAACAGTAATTTAAATAAATTATGTAAAGCCCCTTAAGCTTTTTAAGACCACAGCAGAAAATAATAAATAAAAGTTGTACTCTGTATTTTCGGCTATCAAAAGATAAAAAATACATCAACCGCAACAATAAACGCACCAACATCAAGAAATGCTTCAATGCTAATGAATTAAGCCAAAATTACATCACAAATGAAAAGTTAACCTTAATAAGGACTTCAGTGTAAATAAGGACTTCAGTGTAGATAAGGACTTCAGTGTAAAAATATGCTTAAAAGCCAGAACGCAATGTCAGGACTGTGGTTAATTACCAAAATAAATTTAAATCAACATCAGCCTAGAAATTTATCTAAATTCATGTAAGGTTAAAAGTAAGTATAATTTCTACTAATCTTTCACTTTTTTATGGAAATATTTAATTATTGTTTTTTTACTGTCATTTCAATCCGCCGTTCTTTTCATTTAAAGAGAATTAAATCAAGTGAATAATTTCAAAATCGGACAGGTTTATATCACTGATTTAATCTTGATTAAGGACACAGTGTTTGCTATGAGGCCTTATTACCTATAACTATTTGTGCTATGGAAGCAATTAGCAAAAAGCAATAAATCTAGATATTTATTTTGGTTTAACCTACTTCTTCTGTTGAGGTTTTTCCGAGTTAGTGCAACTGGGCACTTTTATTCTTTGTTAGCTTGGGGTTTCTACAGAATATCTACAATCCAGAGTCCTTCTATTTGACTAAATTATGTATTCCTCACAAACATTGCTGTTTATTCGATAACTGATCTAAGATCTGCATACCGCCCCGTACGGCTAGTGACTGCTCTATCTCTCGATTGAATAATTCAGAAGACCGTATATAGTATTTTGCACTATTATAGTTAAAAATTCGCGGATTAGGAAGCTGCAAACTACCCATTGAATTGTGCTTTTGAATAAGCAAATGTAAATTACTTTTTATGAAATTTATATATCTTTTAGCAAATGCTGTGCTGTAATAAAATAGATACATAAGTTTTTCTTATTTTCCCACTCTTTTTAATCCTATATATTTTTCCTGGGGGTCAAGGCTTACGATGTGTCTCTCAAAGCCTCTCATGAGTTAATGTCAACCTCTGTCTTCCCATGAAGGCTCTTGTTTCAACATTAGAGGCTCTTGCAACCGAGTACTCAGCAGGACTCTGTTGTATCTGATGTCTGAATGAAATGTCATTACCAACTACATGTGTCATTGGCATTTAGATGAATAATTTTGCATTTAGATAGCAGCCCTATCATCGATCCAGGTAGCTCAGATCAATAATTCGCGTCTGCTGTAATTGTGATTTGATTCGAGTTTCTACATGAAGAATGTATCTATTTTTACCACTTGTACTTACATCTGCGACAGTAGTTATTCGAAGAAGACGCTATACAATATGTAATTAATCGGCGTAACTATTAATGAAATAGTTTTTTATTAATAACGGAAATTGTATTACATAGTAAGTAACAATATTTAAAAATTTGGAAGCCAGTTTTATCTGAGGAAATATGACAACACTTGTAATTATTGCAAGGCGAGTCTGTAGTTATTAAGAAAGGTTTAGTAGGAATATATTTATACTATTAAGCTCTTCTAAAGTGTACGATTTAGTCAATTTTAGTCAAGAACAGTTTCCGGCTGCTAAAGGTAGCCAAAGGAAAGGCATGAGTTATTCAGGTAGAGTGTTTAAGAAATATATCTCGGAACAGTTGTAAAATCCAGGCAATCCAATAGCATTATGCAAATATATATTGAAATAGAGAACGAATAAAGAACAAATGTGTAGAGAACAAAAAAATAAAGGGTGATAAATACGCAGTATAAGGATCAGACGTATGCGGGCTTAACAAGTTAAAGTCAATAGTTTATTATTTATTTTGAATTATATGCATTTGTATTGTGTCTTAGTAATTTTTATTTATATTCCATATCTCAATATTTAATTGGAATTCTTAAATGGATTCAAGCATGAAAGAGAGTTATATGTG